TCTTACAGCAACAGCAGCATCGGCGGCGGCGGCCGTCAGGGACTCAGTGGCGCTGCGGCGGCCGACGATGGGGGAGCGAGAGTGCAGACGGCGCGATCGCCGCCACTGCACCAGCTTCTTGCCGGCCGTGCAACCTAATCATCGGTCGGGGGCTAGCTGCTGGCCGGGGGCCACATCCCAACCGTCGTTCTCGATCCTGAGCGCGCGCCTACAACACCAACTTTGAACGAACAAAAACTCATAGAAAGAACTAATTCAGTGGTTCTGGAACAGAGAGTTCAACCGCAGGCTCGCAGGGGAAATCGGAGACGGGTCACGGTGTGAATGGAAGCAAAATAGGAGTGAAACTTGACAGATGATGGCCAGATTGTAGCGCAGAAAAGATTTGTGTGATAAATAAGCTTTGTTTCAAATGAAGCGGTTTGCTTGCACATTGATTCGTCGTTGAAATGGCACGAATTAAAAGCGAAGGGCGACATTTGCAATCAAAAAACGTTTTAAATCGATACCGCCAGCTAGCAAGTCTTATGCTCGCTTATCTCACCTTTGATTGGGGAAAAGGAGTCAGTATCAGAGGACTCAACAGTCACAATGTAGATTCGGAGCTGGCGTAGCACAGGTCCGCAATCCGTGAAAAATAGATTCCTCCCTAGGGTTACAGGGCATCTATCAACCGGATATTCCCATATTGGGAAAATCCAGAGATTTTCTCGCTGCTTGGTCTCGCTAAGCATTTGAATGGACAAGAGCAAGAAAGAGGGAAGAGAGAAAGGAGGGAAAGATGGAGAGAGGAAGAAAACAGTAAGGGGAAGAGAGATTTCGTGGTTGACAGATATTTTGAGAAGATGCATTAGACGAGGAAGGAGCTCCGAGGTGAATGAATCACTTCTTACAAAATGAGGAGGTTTATTTCCGCAGAAACCAGGCTAACCTGCTGGATTGGGGACCTCTGCTATACCTGCACCTTGGATTCCGTTGGTCCATTTTCTTCGGAAAATGAGTTTCAGAGCGGTTAGGCTTGATGGGATTTGCTGTGCTATGTTTCCAGATGTGTAAATTTGCCCATGAATGTGAAGATGTCTGTATATTTGCTAGTATGTACTAGAGAAAAGTGTATTTTTGGAGAGTATGCTCTCTTAGGAGTTTGAGAAAAACCGACCTAGACCTAAGAAGAAGACGTAGCAGAGTCCGCAAAGGGTACACCTCGTTGGTTATTCTTCATTTTTGATAGATTAAAAGAGGTAATTCGATCGTCATAACTAGCTGGTAATCATAATGATTGCTCCCTCATTTATTGTGAAGTCGTGTGTAGTCGTGCTATTGCGAAATTACCGTAGCCAAGGTGAGGCTGTACAGTTCTATCGATTAAATTCACTTGTGAAGAAGAATTTTTGTCACAAATGGATTTAATTGATAGAACTGTACAGCTGGCAGCTGTCAGTTAGTTCCTGCGCCTAATAGTCGTGCTTACTACTCGCCTAATTTTGTATGCTTGGTGGTATTTTGCGTGTAATGCTTTGTGGTGTGTATTTAGTGACGTATTGCATGAATATCTTGTATGAGATTTATTAATTCGTGGCTGCCAATAAGCAAAGCTTTTGTGTTCGGGGAGCTTCTTGGATAGGGCTGAGGGTGAATGAGTTCCTTGTACCGTTTTGAGCTATCTCAGGGTATCTGTCAACCCTGCCTCCCTCTTGCCTTTTTTCTCCCTTCTTTTCTTTCCTTCCTTCTGTCTTCTCTCCTCCCTATTTTCCTCTCTTCGATGCTCAGCCAGAAAATGCGATGAGAAAATACCTCTGAGTCATCGCAGCGAGAGGATGTCCGATTGACGAAAGCTTTGAGACCTTCCGCGATGAGGTCCTCTTCGAGCTGCTTTACATTTGTTACCGATTCTGACGATACCATTCGTGAAATCTTTCCCATTGCGTTTGTTTCGCTAATTTTATATTTTTTCCTTGGCAGTGCGATGTGTGGAAGGTTTTCTTGTTTAAAGAGATTGATTTCTTGCGTCAGCTAGCTGCTATATGGAGTGCGTTCACCGAGCGATTTGCGTATTGACTTTTTCATTTAGTTTATGGTCTTAAACGATTTTCGTCGTCGGGTATCGCTCTGTTATGCTGACAAGTTTTCTAATGTTGTAGGGAAAGAAAAGATGTAATTGTGTTCGACAATTCATTTGCGCTGCCCTTTTGCATATCAAGAGAGTTGATCTGGTTCGCGTTGTTCGAGGAGAGAACGGAATTAATGCGCGGCGAAATACCACACCGATCGATAGCAGACGGCTGCCTCCTGTGGGATATTCGTTTAGGGAGCACGGAATGTGAATTTGGCGAACTTTTAGGGAAGAGGGACAAGTCTTTCGAGAGGGTGGGCATTCAAAGAACGCGTTGTACAAAGAAAAACTATTGAAAATGAAAATCGATTGACCATGTTGAATAATCGAACAAATGAGAAATATTGAGGGGAGAGGTCAAAAGCAAGGAGATGGCTCAGCTTCCATTTCGCATGTGCCCTCAGACAAAAGCCGAGTAGAAGCACGGTCATCACTCTGAAAATCTGGGGTTATTGTAGTTCGGAACCCGTTCTGCACAGGGAGAATTGGTTCACCCACCCAATGCAGGTTGTTCTCTCCTAGGATTAAATGGAAATGTTCTCTCTTGGGATGAAATGGTAATTTTCATTCTCAGTGTGATCATTTCGTTCTGTACAAGGGGTCCCGTAAAGGTCCCACTTTCCAGTATAGTCGAATTACGCTGTTCTGCACGATGGCTTGGACCCCCCCCCCCTTGTTAGAGGAGCAATTATTGATTGGTGAATAACCTGGAACCTCAACTACTCAGTTTACGAGCCATTGCCCTGAATGATTTCGTCGCATAGGAGAAATGTTATTCACTCCGCTAGGAAATTAGGGCGAATGGCGTCATCATAATCAGCTGGTAGCTTATTTAGTGGTGTATTTCTATGAAGGCTGTGAATTCACATATCATCGGCTTTGAGTGACTTTTGGCGCAAAGTAGTGCCATTATTGAAATCATAAGCGCGAGGGGGGATGATTTTGAACAACTAAGATTTTTTTCTATTTGGCATTTTCTTGGTCTTACATCTTCCTTGTTTTTCTGCCGCTGTTGAATCTAGAGCATCATGGTGTTATTTTACTCGACTGATGTAAAGAATTTATGCTGTAGAATTTGTATGTGGACGTTACTTCTCGAATGTGGAAGATTTGCACCAGATGAGCCCAATGCTGTCGTTTTTTCCAATGTTGTCAGTCTGCATTTGTCCCGTTGATGGGCATGGTAGCTACGCGTTTCGAGCGTTGACAGGCCAGGGTAGGTCGATGTGCCACCCACTAATGACTGGGGCCTCGTGCGCCGCTAATGGCTATCTGTGAAACTGCTTTTGGTAGCTGGAGGTCGACGAAACCATGGCTGAACGTTACTTTATGCATATTAGGGAGTCGACAAGTTTTCGGAAATTGGGATAGAAGGAGGCTCTTGATTGAGCGCAGGTTTCAATATTCTCCCCAATGGAGATTGAGCTCTGATCTACTGTTTAGAAGCGCACAAAGTTCAGTTTTAGGGTTTGGAAGAAATTGGTAACCTTGGCTCTATCCCAAAACAAGGGCCAATGCGCGCAAATTATTGATTAACTTGACTTTATGAAGAAAGGAACTGGTTCATACCCCGGTGCTGCTTTCCTCAACGGCCTTTAGCGAAAATCCTCACTCCTCTAGCTTCCACAACTTTTCCGAGCTGTAGCAGCAGTTTAGCTGAGTTCTTGTAAATTCCGAGCTTACATTACTCCAGCAGAACGCATTGAACCTAGGAAAGTCTCTTGGCAGCAGAGCTACTACAAATTTCAATTTATGGGAATAATCCAAATCATGAAGTGAAAATCTTTGTCGAAATTATAAGCAGGGCAGAGATGGACGGTATTCCAGTGAGGTTGGCGTTTGTTTTTGAAGAAATTGGAAAAGCCTCATTTCTGCGCTAAACAATCTATTTCTAGGGCCTGCAATCCTTCACACAGGTTTAGGTGTAAATTTCCTCCTACCTTGCTCCCGTTGTCATGCCTAGAAAGCACTGGTTGGGCTAGACGTATCTTCTTAGTGAAATAGCCCCTGGGACCTTTTATTGGTAGTGTTTCGTGTTTCGAGAATTCCTCTATTTTTAGGCTTCCATAATACTGTCGTAGTGGAAATTTCTTTTTTTTTCTCAACTGCTGAAAACTATTGTTCTAGTGAGAGGGGGCATTTTGGCGCAGTACCCCACGTTATTTTGGAACTCATACTTTTAGGCAGAAAGGCTCATCGTCTGTGGCACACAATCGTATTTTCGCTTTTTCTGGAGAAAATCCCCTCCACCTTGCTGAAATGCGGCTGGATTTTTCCGCAATCTATTGTTTTCGTGACTTCCCCTTTAGTTTTTCTGATACTCTCCTCTGCATGCTCTACTATTTAAATTCTTTCTTCATAACTAGTTATAAATGGATGTTTGTGTACGATATTGATTGGTAAAGGTTCAAGTTGAGCGCGAGTATTGGAGGATATCAATGTGGTTTGTCTGGTGTGGGTCCATAGAGGCGCCATTGACGCGGACTAGCTGGCTGGTCTGACAGGCTGCGATCTGGTTGCAAGGCGCGCGACGCACTAATCGATTCGCACACCACGCACGATGCCACTACCCCACTCCGTTCTCATTTCTCTCCCCGTATTTCTGAACCATTGCTCTCCTGGCGCGCAGTTCCTTGATGGAAGTGATACGAAACAGGAAAGGCGACTAAGCCACGTTGGAAAATGACAAGGGGAATGGAAGAATACAGTGAAAAAAGACTTAGGGTTATGTAAAAAAAAACCTGAAGTGGAAAGAAATCAAAAAAAGAAAAAGCTCGTGTTGGAGTTTGTTTTGTAGCAGCTTTTTAATCTCTGACAGTTCCACTCACAATTGATCACTGAATTTTTAGGTACCGGAGAATCAGGGAAGTCGACGTTCATTAAGCAGATGCGAATTATCCACGGGAATGGTTATTCAGATGAAGATAAACGGGCTCATATTCGACTAGTCTATCAAAATGTCTTCATGGCCATACAAGTAAGTTCGGAGCATAAATTCACTAGTTGAATGACCCTGTCACAATCGTCGGAGGTTTGAATGATAAGGTCACCTTGGTCCTGGGTGTGTGAATGGCACGACTGATAGTGAGGGGACAATTCGGCCAAGGGAGACGTTTGAAGGGCTTCTTGTACGAAGAAAAAATTTTGAAAATAAAAATATATTGACTGTGTTGGAAAATCGAACAAGTGAGCAATAGATGAGGGGGGGGGAGATCTAGGGCAAAAAGTAGTTAGCTCCCGTTTCGCCCATCACCTTAGACAGAAGCCTTCCCCTGTGCTCAGCAGTAAAGGAAGGGACTCAAAACTGAACTTCCATCATAGAATGCTTTTTCCCCGCGCTGAAAGTTAGTCCATCCACCGCGGGAATGCTTCCCATTCGGCTTTAGGCAGAGGTCATCATCTCTGTCACCGCGATCTCATTTTCAACTAGGGTGTCCTACAGGACCTTTCTGTCCCCTCTTACCCTATTTCATTTCTGCCTGGTGAGGTTCTGGTAAATGGGATCTGAGGGCTAAAATTTGACATTTTATGGTGAATTGTGGGAGTGAGGTGGGTGTGAGTGAAGGGCCGGTGAGCGCTCAAAAATCTAGCCTGCCAGGCCTGTAGTCTGATTCCTTTGTTCACATTCTATGAATATTTCGACCTGTTTGACGCCAGTAAGGGGAAGTAATTTGTTACGAGTATTCGAATAATACCCCTTTTGTACAAGCAAAGCGGCTAACTCCAACCTCTCTTAAATATCTATCCTCCTGGCATGGGAAAAATCATCACGTCTGTGCTGTCCAGTGGTGCCCAATGTTGATTGTCTTAGCTTTTGCTTTTAAGTGCTCAGGGGGGTGGGAAGGGGCGCAAGAGGCGCTGGCGCTAGTCCTGCTGCGGAAGGAGGAGGTGAGGAGAGAGCGTAGACTCCTGCCAACCTATGATTGCTATTTTGTAAAGTCTTGTGAGCTTCATGAAGCACCGTAAGATGCTAGAATTCTGCTTCTGTAAAGGTAGACCAGGAGGTGTGTAAGGGAGGGGAAGGAGGGGGGGGAGATTGCGCGGGGAATGAAGCAGGATTAGCAAATCATTGGTTCACTTGTCCGGAGACTTTTCCTGCATGGCACTTTGCAAAAATCTCGTCGTCTCTTACAATAGCTTTTTCGCACCTTTCAGCACTAAATGCCATCCAAGATTTAAATTTCGCAAACATTATGTCCCAATGAAACTGTTCCCCTTTCGCACCATTACAGTGGTTCACAGGTACTCACGAAATGTCCTGGCGTGTGCAATCACCGTGATGGATACATGATATTATTACAGACGATGTAGCACCACTTTTATCTGAGTAGTACAATTGTTTTCTCACGCTGGTTTTTTATTCCGTAGCCAAAATCATGGTTGCGGCGTAACGACATGATCAGAGTGGTTGTGAGAAATAAGGTTTAAAGAAGCTGTCATCGCAAGTGAGACCCCCCCCGTTTTAAAGATCAATATGTCATGAGAGATCCTCAGTTGCATGAGAGAATCCTCAATTTTTTGAAAAGATCTTGCTGTGAGAATTGAAAGGAAATTTGAAGATAACTAAACTAGTTATACCTCAATTTTGATTGTTATTTTTTCATATCGTTCCTTATTTCAGTCAATGATTCGCGCTATGGACACACTCGGCATCGAATTCGGTGATCCTTCAGAAGAGTTACAAGAGAAGGCTGCAGTCGTACGAGCTGTGGATTTCGAAAGTGTGACTTCATTTGAAGAACCATATGTTTCCTATATAAAGGAACTATGGGAGGACAGCGGCATCCAAGAATGCTACGATCGTCGACGTGAATACCAGCTCACTGATTCTGCCAAATAGTAAGTCTGCATGTTTTTTCCTCATCTTTTTTTCTATGAAAATAGTGGTTAAAATCAGGTGATCAAGTGTCATAGCGGCGGGGAGAAAGTTCGGTTTTGCGGGGGCACCAAAAGGTCCCGAGCAAGGCTTGCACAGCCTACCTTGTGAGAACATGTGAATGCCTGTAACCAAAGTGGCTCACTTGTTCATTTCGCAGTTTCACATGAGTTTACAGGTCTTACCAAAGTGAGACCTGTCATTTAACATATCACCGAAATTTAAAGTGCAAAATGTATTCCCCCCCCCCCTCCTCTAAACAGCGCCGTGGTGGGATCACCTGAGAATTCTTTCGATAGTGAACCCGTGAACCCAATAGACGTTTTTATCAAACGTTCTATTCCCGCTGTCTTCATTTTGTGCCTGCTCCTCCCGCACTGGATTGCTGATCAAAATGCAATTGCCCTGTTTATGTGTCTTCCGATAGTTTCCCAGAAATGTTATTATCACATGAGAAGTCCATTGAGAAAATAACGGCGAAAATTCACTCCCAATGGATGTTTAAAGATAATAGTTCTGCTGCTATTTCATAACTATTTACATACAATAAACTGGAATCATCTGTTGAGCTATTCGTGGGAGAGGCCACTTTTCCAGAACGATTTTGGCGCACTTCGGGTTGGAGGGTGGGGCATCTTGCACGTCTGATACTTCCCATCGACGAGTCGAGCCATCAGGTGGAGACCTGCGAAATTTTGCGAAGCCATGAAATGATACCAGTCGAAGTTTTTTGTTGACTTACCAACTCTTGTAAAGAATATCTAGCAACTTCTGTAAAGCGATGAACGATAGTGAAGGCGAAACATGCCCCCCCCCCCTCCAAGCCTATCTGCATCCGACTTTGTCCTATTCCAATAGAACGATATTTTCTGCGATTTCTGTGGTCCTAAAACTGAGAACTTCTGAAATGTGGTGTATTTATCTATGCCTGAATTACGCAAATGATTTCAGTTATTTGTCTGATCTTCGACGATTAGCAGTGCCGGACTATTTGCCGACAGAACAAGATATTCTGCGGGTTCGAGTGCCCACGACCGGTATCATAGAATATCCTTTCGATTTGGAACAGATTATATTTAGGTATGTTATAGGGTATTTACACCCCATTTCACGAATAATGTTCATTTACACTCCTTGTCTGGCAGAAGGAGAGGGCGTGGTTGCGTACTCTCTTTGAGCATACAGCCTGCTGAAACTTTGCTGTAATATTGTCGTTCTGGGATGGTCGTGATCATGTTTCGCGGATCAAGGCAACATGAAAGTAGGCTCCAAAGGAAATATCGCACGGAAAGCGCATTTTAGGCCTTGTTCAAATAAAGTACGCAGCTACGGCCACCCCCCTTCTGGTACATGCAGCGTAAATAATCTGTGTAGAGTGGTTTAGTAGATAAGAGAGCTATTTTCGTTTCTCTTCTAGGATGGTTGACGTTGGAGGACAGCGATCTGAACGACGGAAGTGGATTCATTGCTTCGAGAATGTTACATCTATTATGTTCCTCGTAGCTCTCTCAGAATACGATCAAGTTCTAGTCGAATGCGACAACGAGGTATTTAAAGCTTATTTAAGTTTTTAATTCCATAATAATATCTGGAAATAACTGGTGTAGTGGCAAGCGGTCCCGCTTGTGAAATCTTGAATCCCTTCTCGTCTAGGCCAGCAAAGCCCTCCACCACTTCGGGGTCCACTAATCGGCACAAAGCTTATTGGTAGGATGAGACAAAACCTGACTCGTGCATCAGCTCTACGAGGGAGTGATACGTAGGCCAGATCGCAGTTAAAATGCTGATACTCAATAAT